GGCCATATTGGATTTCTGATCGACCCGAAAAATAACAACACTTTGTCAGGACCATGAGGCGATCATTCCTACCAACTTTCAGTTCAATCGGCCCAGCAGAACTTGACTTTAAGTTTGAAATGTAAAATGTTAACGGACGACGGACGAAAACGGATAGCAATAGGTCACTTGAGCTAAAGCTCAGGTGACCTAAAAACCATGAAAAGGATACAACAGATAAACATAATTGCGTCTTTAATGCAACAGATATAAAGATCATAGGCCAACAAATTAAAGCCGAGACAACGAGACAACTTTTAATTCAGAACATCATGTTTTATTTACACTTTATATGTTTATGAAAGCTAAATATTACAATGATTATTTTAATTTAGAAGTTGTTGGACACCAGTACACACTGTCTACACAGTGATTTCTTTATGGTGACATTTGGGGTGTTATAATTAGACCCCTTTCATTGGCTAATTTCTGCTATATTTTCTCAAAATCAATAAAAAAAATCAGTTCATTCTCCCACAATCATGCTTTTTGGGGTGATATATTTTGAAAAGTCACAAGTTAGAGTCCCTGTGGAAAAGAAGTAGAAAAATTGTTGCTACAAGAAATGCTAGCCAATGGTATAGTAACTACCCCAGGGTACAAGAACTAGTGGCCTACCATATTTGACCGCATATAAGCCCCCTCCCCAATTTGGCAAATGTCCTAGGAACATGGTGGGTGCCTGCAATTAAGCCCCCTCTTTTTTTTGGGTCAAATACGGTACTTAAAAGAGACTATGATCAATACAATGGGCGGATTCCTGTAAATCCCATTAACATGTACCTATAACTTTAAAAGACCACTAAATAATTTGTTTTCATTTTTGCCTGTATTATGTTAATTTCTACATGTAATAGAATACACACCTCCAGTATTCGAATAGTCATGCTCTAATGACACATTTCAACGTTACTGAATAAATTTGCATAAGGACAGTCTTGAGCCTGTGACATGAAGATGTGTATCTGTTCTATTTACATCAGACAGGCTGTGAATTTGTGAAACTGTCATGAAATATCTATATTAGAAATAGAAGTGACTAAATTCACATGTACATATATATCATTATGCACAGCTATATTACCACAGGGGTCCGAGAATTAGACACAGATTCTGGTTTTACTCCTGATGGATAGGGAGTGAAAGTATTAAATAGTTGTTTCAGGGTTCAGATCGAAGCTCAGTCAAAAAAACATCTACTGGTGACGGTATATGTAGTAAGGGTAGCAAGCTCTCACAGTCTAACAATTAAAAAAGGACCCCACAAAATTCTGTTCCTGGAACAAAAGGCCCTGAAGCCTTTGTTAGTTATTCACCTGGAATTTATAAATTTAATTTAAAAACTATAGAATACCATACACTTTTATCAATTGTATGGATTCTTCAGAAGAAATTGATTTCAGTTTTCGACATGTTTGACCCCTGTGACCTCAAAATTAAATTGAGGTCATTTGCTGACTCTATCAAAGCTAGCTAACAGCCAAATAACCAGAATCTAGGCCTTTTAGTTCTTCAGATGAATTTGTCAACAGTTTTTGACATTTTTTACCTCTTTGACTGAAAGTATGTCAAGGTCGTTTTTAATCGCAAATGTTCTAAGGCTCCAAATTAGAAAGCTATCAGCCAAATTTCTTGACTCTAGGCCTTAATTTTGGTTCTTCAAAAGACGTATGACGTTTTGGCATATTTGACCCCCGTAACCATTGAAAGTGGGTCAAGTTCATTTTTATTCGTAAATTTTGTACGGCTCTATCAAAGAAATTCTATAGGCCTTTTGTCTTTTTGGAAGAAGACTTCAAAGGAAAATTTAATGACCTTAGGCCTTTTGGTTCTTTAGAAGAAGTCATTTGAAATTTTTAGATGTACTATTTGAACCCTGTGACCTTGAAATGGTGTAAGGTCATTTTATTTTGTTTGCAAAATATGTTGGGCCTCATCCAAGGAGTTTACCAACCAAATATCATGACTCTAGGCGTTTTGGTGCTTCAGAAGAAGTCATTTGAAGGTTAGGCATATTTTACCCTGTGACCTTGAAAGTAGGTTTTATAGGTAATTTTTGTACACAAAATTTGTTGGGCCTCATTCAATGAATCTACCAGCCTAATATCATGACACTAGGCCTTTTGGATTTTTAAAAGAAGGCAAAAAATGATGGCCAGAATGGGATTTGAACCAAGGACCCTCCGAACTCGAGACAGATACCTGTCACCGACAATAGACACAGTCCAGTTTTTGCTACACTGCCATTTGAAAGTTTTTGTAGGGTATGTGCCGAGGCCCATATGCATTATTGCATATGAATGAAATATCACAAGATCGTCTCCAGTCCAACTGGCTAGCTATTTTAGGTGCTCCTTATAAGAGTCACTTTGCAAATAATTATCATCAACAGTGACCCACAGCCATATTGCATGACAATGTATGTATACCATTACCAACTATCATCATTTAATGTTCACAGCCTTGAACTCTCAAAATGTTTATAGGTTACCAAAACCTACAATTATTTACATAGAAATGAGTCCTTCTATTTAGAGAAATAGGAGCGGAAATATGCGCGGCCAGACCAGGGTTCGAACCAGTGGCCTGGACCTTCTGAACTATAAATGGACGCTCTACCAATAGAGCTACCTAGTCACCAACAATCGACCCAGTCCAGTTCCGCTACATTCCTCCCTCCTTTTTCAAAGTCTTCACCCCCTAAGACACAACTACATGTATTTACAACCCAGGGTTGGGTCACCCCCTTGTCAAGCATTCACCTAGTTTTTGAAACAAGGGTCGTTCACACCAAAAGTATGATTAGGACCCTCTACCTACAATGTAGCCCAAGTTTCCTCTGGCCCTAACCACCAGACTTAGACATTTCCACATATAGATGTCGGGTGTGGGACCAGAGCGCACTGCTACATAAAAACGTGGAATTCTCTGATACCGTTTGGTATTGCGGAGGGACTTATATATAATCAACAAAAAGATGCGGTCTATGACACACACAGAAAACTTCTAAACAAGAATAATTTATTCCGTTTTTGTTCCAGATCAGTACGGTTTATTGATAAGTCACCCCATGACCTACAAAAATGGTGTCTGCTCATGTGGAAAATTTAGCGATGGAAAATCGAGGACTCTACTGACGGAATTTAGCAGCTGTTGGTGATAATAAGTGCCGATTTTGATCAATAAATAATCCATTTATCGATATATTTGAGGTATGTGTTGTGTCATAGTAGATTTTTGTCGTCAGCAGAGTGAATACCAAACGTTGTTGGAGAATTCCACGTTTTCATAGCAGTGCGCTCTGGCCCCACACCAGACATCTACATGTTTATGTCAAAATGTCGAAGTCTGGTGTTACTGCTAGGGCCAGAGGAAACTCGAGCTACAATTTGATCTACCTGCATGGTCAGCGATGATCGACCCAGTCCAGTTCAGCTACATTAGCAAGCTACAGCTTATATCACTACTGTTACATTATTCACTAATAATCGTGCAGAGGTGTCCATAGTCGGGCATAATTAATGATCTTCTGTACCGTACACACATGGTAACATTACAATGTACAGTGTACTGCAAACTTGTCAAGTGTCCGTATGGGATTTTTGTCTGATAGTTCGATTATTTCCATGAATAATAACTGATTTACAGAACAAATGCAATAGCGGCAACATACTAACAATATGAATCGTCCTTGGAGGACAAATTACTCGCATTACTTTATAGTAGCAGACCGGCAACAGGTCGTGCACCAGTCAGCTGTCAGGAGACTGTCACTAAGTTTAGTGATTGCTTCGACAAACCAGGTAAATACTTACCCCCAACTCCGAGATTAACCTTAATTGGCCGTTTGTCTTCGTTGTACTTTGCTGTTAACGAGAAAACCTCGATAGGAGGTGCGATCTTAACGTCTGAGAACATTGACTCGGCCATTTTCGATGGTGAAAGGGTTCAGTTGAAGGTCGAGGTCACGTGTTGTCAAGGTGGAACTCGGAATCGATTCTTTTTTCGGAATATCTCTAGACTGTATATAGAAATGTGTTAAATCGAAAGTAGGCCGGAGACAGTTTTAAGGAACGTGTACAATCTGGTGCAGACAGTTCGTACGTAGAATCAGAAGATGTAGGACAACCCCCGTATTTGGTATTAAAATATTGGTAAAATGTGAACTAGTCTTCTCTACTTCCCAATGACAGGATAGGGAAGACAATATTTACACATTAAATATTCAGATGCCCATGGCTAAATAAAAATAAATTGAAGTAGTCTTCATATTTTACATACATTTTGATTTTATTTAAAAACAGATGCATGTGGTCTAGTGCATATTATGTTTATATTATAATTGGAAACAAACTCTTGTGATATTACTAATCAAATAAAATGAACACTGTCAGTAGTCTTGACTTTTAATAGATCTACTTCAGTACTCAGCTGTTCTTCGTTGTGCCACTCCCCAATGGTGATCAGTGTAGTGTCATTAGGTACTGTATGGTAATAATAGCTGGTTATGTATGATAAGATCTACAGAAAAAAAAGATAAAAATTTGACTTGAAGTTGGTATTGCATAAGATTTTCACTGGCATGAATTTTGGACAATTAGTAAATTCTCTCCCTTCCGTATTTTTTTCAAAAACTTTTCAGCATTTTGAAAGAATTATATCTGGTGAGGACCAGAGAAAATTTGGATTAGAAAATGAAACATAAAAATACCAGAGTTTACTTTGGGATCCTAATCTTACTGGATCTGTACGTTATCCCATCCTTCCTGGCTAGTCAAAATTATACATGGCAAGGATATAAAGCTATCATGTTTGAAGTTGAAGTGAAAGATAGTGGATGTCTAGCCTTGATAATCCAGCAGTCATCTAAATTCCCAGTATAGACAAACTAGCAACACTTTTACCACCTTTGTTCCCGGTAGGTAATTCAGCCACCTTTTTTCCCAGTAGATAATATGACCACCTTTGTTCCCAGTAGATAATTTGCCCACCTCTGTTCCCTGGAGGTAGTTTAAGCACCATTGTTCCCAGTAGATAATTTAAGCACGTTTGTTCCCAGTAGATAATTTAAGCACCTTTGTTGCACGTAGATAATTTGACCAACTTTGTTCCCAGTAGATAATTTGACCACCTTTGTTCCCAATAGATAATATGACCACCTTTGTTCCCAGTAGATAATTTGACCACCTTTGTTCCCAGTAGATAATTTGACCCCCTTTGTTCCCAATAGATAATTTGCCCACCTCTGTTCCCTGGAGGTAATTTAAGCACCATTGTTCCCAGTAAATAATTTAAGCACCTTTGTTCCACATAAATAATTTAACCACCTTTGTTCCATGTAGATAATTTGACCACCTTTGTTCCCAGTAAATAATATGACCACCTTTGTTCCCAGTAGATAATTTGCCCACCTCTGTTCCCTGGAGGTAATTTAAGCACCTTTGTTCCCAGTAGATAGTTCAACCACCTTTGTTCCCAGTAGATAGTTGAACCACCTTTGTTCCCAGAAGATAATTTGACCACCTTTGTCCCCAGTAGATAATTTGCCCACATAAATCCCCAGTAGATAATTAGACCACCTTTGTCCCCAGTAGATAATTTAAGCACCTTTGTTCCCAGTAGATAATTTAAGCACCATTGTTTTCAGTAGATAATTTAAGCACCTTTGTTCCACGTAGTTAATTTGACCATTTTTGTTCCCAGTAGATAATTTGACCACATTTGTCCCCACTAGGTAATTTGACCACCTTTGTTCCCAGTAGATAATTGACCACCTTTGTTCCCAGTAGATAATTTGCCCACCTCTGTTCCCTGGAGGTAGTTTAAGCACCATTGTTCCCAGTAGATAATTTAAGCACGTTTGTTCCCAGTAGATAATTTAAGCACCTTTGTTCCACGTAGTTAATTTGACCATTTTTGTTCCCAGTAGATAATTTGACCACATTTGTCCCCACTAGATAATTTGACCACCTTTGTTCCCAGTAGATAATTTGACCACTTTTGTGCCCAGTAGATAATTTGACCACATTTGTCCCAAGTAGATAATTAGACCACCTTTGTCCCCAGTAGATAATTTAAGCACCTTTGTTCCCAGTAGATAATTTGAGCACCTTTGTTCCCAGTAGATAATTTGACCACATTTGTCCCCACTAGATAATTTGACCACCTTTGTTCCCAGTAGATAGTTCAACCACCTTTGTTCCCAGTAGATAATTTGACCACTTTTGTGCCCAGTAGATAATTTGACCACATTTGTCCCAAGTAGATAATTAGACCCCCTTTGTCCCCAGTAGATAATTTAAGCACCTTTGTTCCACGTAGATAATTTGACCACCTTTGTTCCCAGTAGATAATTCAACCACATTTGTTCCCAGTAGATAATTTGACCACATTTGTCCCCAGTAGATAATTTGACCACATTTGTTCCCAGTAGTAATTTAACCACTTTTGTTCCCAGTAGATAATTTGACCACATTTGTCCCCAGTAGATAATTTGACCACCTTTGTTCCAAGTAGATAATTTGACCAACTTTGTTCCAAGTAGATAATTTGACCACATTTGTTCCCAGTAGTAATTTAACCAACTTTGTTCCCAGTAGTAATTTAACCAACTTTGTTCCCCAGTAGATAATTTGACCACCTTTGTTCCCAGTAGTAATTTAACCACCTTTGTTCCCAGTAGATAATTTGACCACCTTTGTTCCCAATAGGTAATTTAAGCACCTTTGTTCAATGTAGATAATTTAAGCACCTTTGTTCCCAGTAGATAATTTTAGAACCTTTGTTCCCTGTAGATAATTTAAGCACCTTTGTTCCAAGGAGTCAATTTGACCACCTTTGTTCCCAGTAGATAATTTGCCCACTTTTGTCCCCAGTAGATAATTTGACCACCTTTGTTCCCAGTAGATAATGTAAGCACCTTTGTTCCCAGTAGATAATTTTAGCACCTTTGTTCCCTGTAGATAATTTAAGCACCTTTGTTCCAAGGAGTCAATTTGACCACCTTTGTTCCCAGTAGATAATTTGACCACCTTTGTTCCCAGTTGATAATTTGACCACCTTTGTTCCCAGTAGATAATTTGACCACCTTTGTCCCCAGTAGATAATTTAAGCACCTTTGTTCCACGTAGATAATTTTACCACCTTTGTCTCCAGTAGATAATTCAACCACATTTGTTCACAGTAGTAATTTAACCAACTTTGTTCCAAGTAGATAATTTGACCAACTTTGTTCCAAGTTGATAATTTGACCACATTTGTTCCCAGTAGATAATTTGACCACCTTTGTTCCCAGTAGTAATTTAACCACCTTTGTTCCCAGTTGATAATTCAACCATCTTTGTACCCAGTAGATAATTCAACTACCTTTGTTCCCAAGAGATAATAATTCCACCACCTTTGTTCCAAGGAGGTAATTTGACCACATTTGTTCCCAGTAGTAATTTAACCACCTTTGTTCCCAGTTGACAATTCAACCATCTTTGTACCCAGTAGATAATTCAACTACCTTTGTTCCCAAGAGATAATAATTCCACCACCTTTGTTCCAAGGAGGTAATTTGACCACATTTGTTCCCAGTAGTAATCTAACCACCTTTGTTCCCAGTTGATAATTCAACCATCTTTGTACCCAGTAGATAATTCAACTATCTTTGTTCCCCAAGAGATAATAATTCCACCGCCTTTGTTCCAAGGAGGTAATTTGACCTTTTTGTGATGGGCAATGATACTTGGTCTGTAGCGTGTCCCGATGAAGGGCTTACAGGTTGGTTCAAATACGGTAAATTACCTTGACCCACTTTCAAAGTCACAGCGAAAATACTTCAGAATAGCCAAACCAAAATGCTCTTGGTCTTGTTAGGCCCTGTCCCCAGGGATTCTACACCTCTGTTTATGCCATATTTAGTCCACTAAGCCCATCATTGCTCCAAACCATATTTGTAAAATGAACTCAATTGTACTGGACTAGTAACAGTTCAAAAGAAATGTTGAAGGATGGATGGACAGGCGTTGTGTCACAAACATTAAAGCTCACACCACCCTTAATTCAGGGCTGGTGACTGAAAAAATTCTGACGGCATTATCTAAGAACTGCATGATCTAGAGTCATGATGTGATTAAGACTGGAAGTGTGATTCTTTTCCAATATACTGTGGCAATAAAGGTCAAAGCCATCTATAAGTGCTTGTTGGGTGTAACAATCAAAATGGGCTTATGATGGGAAAAAAGCATCTTTCTGAGCATAAGGTCATGATATTAAGCCAGTAGTTAGCTGTAATGTTCATTATATAAATTACCTTGACCTACTTTCAAGGTCTTCAGGGTCAATATCTTACAAGAGGCCCAGATATCCTGCATCGTTCACCTGGACATTTAATTCAATCATGACGACAAGACATTCCCATTAAGAGAAATATTGCAAATAAATCTCCAGGTGTAGGGCTAGGCCACTGGTTGATCGACTGACCCTGTTAGCATGACTGTGACCATAACATAAAGAGAACAAGCTTTAACAACATGCAACTTATAGACAGGTTACAAAAACTGTTCAGTGGTTAAGGTCACCAGCTGGGTTGCAAACAAAACCTTATCAGCAACACCTGATAACAATCCAGGTGAGTGCTGACGACTTTACGCTAGATCACATGACTGACCTGTATTTCTATCTGTCATCATCCATCGTCATACGTCCGTCAATTGAGTATTTTTATTATCTTCACAAGAATCACTAGAAGTGGTTTAGATTCAAAACTTGGCACACATACAATAATCCAACATTGCAACGCTGGCCTCTGATTGGCTAATATATTTTCAACTCTTTCTAAAAAAAGGCTGCAGAGACCGACTCCAAACTCTACACATAGGTGTCTGTATGAGGTTCCCATATTATTAACCAATGAGAAGTGTTGATGCTACATCACCATATAATAAATAAAGGACTCAAGTTTCGCTGTATATGCAGTATTTTAATAACTTTAAATGTGGCAACTTTTGAGTACATAGTATGGTACTTGTACAATAAATGTTAATACACATGTCAATCATAATGTAACGTATATCATTAATGAATTGTACTGTTGTGAACATTATTATAAATAACCTAAAACCACTCCTTTCACGCCTCTAGTAAATATTAAGCCAAATTTTCATATTATTCACTTAACTTCTAAAAATTGTTGTTTTTAATTGATTTATTTGAATTTGTTCTGTTTTCAGTTCCCATTTTAATGTAAATATCTTCATTGAAATTCTATATCTCGTTGATTTTTTCTAAAGTTGAATGGCCTACATTCACATTTTACTTGTGATAAACAGTTGTCTCCCTTGCTCATTATCGTTGCTACCTGAATGTCAGACGTAAGATAAACTGTTATTAAAGTATTAGCTTCTTGTGAACCTTTTAGATATGGGCTTTTTGTTCTGTTGTTTTAAATCCTTTTAAAACACAAAACATCAATTACTACTTTTCTAGTAAAAAATTGTCTTAACATTTCATTCAATAGCTTAAACACATTAAAGGAACTGGATTCAGACACTGTATTAACAATGGTATTGATGATTATGAAAAATAAGGCAACATTGATCTTTAAAAAGCTTTAAATATATAATATCAAAACTGGTGTTAGATCTTTACATGCAAGTATATATACAAATATAGTGAATATATATTTTGTAAAGTTAATGTAGAATATCACAGATAAGATATATATATATACTCGATACAGGTTTTGTAAATAAGAAATTACAGGAAAGATTAGATATTGTTTCAGCGATGAATAACATACATGAGTCCAGGATTTTACTCCCCACCCTTGTTAAAGATAACACCAGCTGTTAATTAAGCCTGTGCCTGAAAATGAGCCCTTCAATATTTCTTCATTTAAGGGCTCAATTTGGGACTTATAAATCCCAGTACCCTTTTAACTGCCTTAGAAGACACCTCCATGGGTTTATTACAGGGAAACTAAGGGAGACTACTCCTTATCAGATACATNGTGTTTATTGTAAAATTACATAGCTGTATTTGTTATATTGATTACGTATATCATTTATCAATTGATTAAAAGCATTAACTATTTATAAAACCAACAACTGCTAGTGCTATGTCCCAACAGCAAATTTCATACCAAATCTATGAACCCGCATAACTCGAATACTCGGATAACTCGAAGTTTTCCAGCGACCCCGTCAACTTCGAGATAACGAGGTTCGACTGTGTATAAATTGCAAAATAATACACACATTTCAAGGTCATGATTTGCTCAATATGAAACATTTATTATTATATGTCTACCTGTATTTTGGGGGTTGAAGCTTGCAGCAACTTTGAAATCATGAATACAGAAAATATTGCCGAGTTTTACTGGCACTTTGAAAAGTCACAGATGATTACATTTTAAATTTTAATGAACTTAAACAAACAAACACAAAATATCTTGTGGGTAAAATTAGCAATAGCAGATATATATTTAAAAATACTGTATCATTTTGATTGATATTGAACGTCAAGCAAAAAATAATAAAAACTGAAGGAGAATGAAAGCACAAGTGATATTGCATAAAAAGATTCTTCATAAACAAATCACAATTTGTTTTGTACACGTATAGACTTTTAATTCTGGATTTAGTTTTGACAGGGCTGAACCTTATATCAGTAAAAGCCAATGAAATGTATGCATTTGATCACATGGTTGATTTTTATGTCCCTGATATCTAAACCATTTTTCCTTTATCCAAATTCATTTGAAAAGAATTCTGTTATCAAATCAGTGAAAATATATTATTTGTACAGTGATTATCCTATCCAGATGATATGATAAAAAAAATAGAAAAAAGGTGCATTAATACTATCGTGTTTATCCGGCAATAAGCCCATGCCTGGTGAAAAGCCCACTCATGTCAAATACAGTTCAGTTGAAATGTTATACATGTTCTTTGCCATTTCATTGTCCTGCAAAAGGTCTATCCTCTACTTTGAGCCACCTGGGCTTATTGTTGGAAAAAGACGGTACATGTATGTATAATACCTTAACTCATTCACCCCTGAAATTTCATAATGAACTATTCCTACCTTTGAACTGAAAGAGTTCAAACGTGTCTTCAGGGGTGAATGAGTTAACAGAGAAAGACTTTTGAGTAATCTCTCCAGAATTATCACAGGTAATGGGTATCGATACATGTATAAAATTAAACCAGGAAAATGATAATTCTCCCCCAAAAAATACAAAGTGTGATTATATATATACAGTTTTACATAGTATATGATATTGCTATACAAACAATACATGCATGGTGTTTAGTGTATATGTTAATTATTTTCTGAACAAATGATTGTCTTCGAGAGTCAAACACATTTCATTGATATTGGCAAGATATTCAACATGTCAACAAACTATATCATAAAAAGATCTATTGCATATTAATACGACTGTATCTCATACAGTCTAAACACTATTTCTGTTCGAATACATAAAAGAGCACTGAATATACATGTATTACAGATAAAACCCTGTAGAAAGTCACTGTATTCCAGAAAAAACATTCCTTTCAGTATACTTAGTATATAATGTACAGTATTCAGCTGAACCTTTTTCTGGTCCTTATGACTCCCGTCCCTTTACCATAATAATCAACTTACTTAAAAAAAGGTGACAACACGGCTTATTTTTTGGGAAGGTTTGGTGATCATTCAAATTTTCCCAATATCTCCATATCAAGGGGGCCTATTTAAATTTCAACAATGTTCAGATAAAAGGAAGCTAGGCTGGACACAAATTTAGTACAGGCATAACACGTTTTCTATCATACGGGACAATTTTTTTCACTCATTTGATCCTTTTCAACCTACAATAGTAGAACACAAAAAAATACATTCCACAATTTCACAATAATTGATAAATAAATAAAGGTTATAGTATATAATTGTACTAGTAAGCTTGTGGGAGGAGAGACAATTCTGAGTGAGTAAAATGTTTGTTTTTGCTGGTTTACCATTTCACCCTATGTAACTTTAATAGACCCTACCATGCATTGATATGGATGAGTCCATTGTGGTCTACAGTGGTGAAAGGGTTAATATAAATTCATGATTTACATAGTGCATTATATGAATAATGTTTATTACTTTTGTATACAACGTATTATTAGTCAGAAGATTTGGTTTTGATAAACTGTGTATAGATGTTGATGACATGAAGACACAGTCATCCTACTTCTCTTCTTAACCCTTTCACCACTGTAGACCATAATGGACTCATCCAGATCAATGCATGGTAGAGTCTACTAAAGTGACATAGGGGTTAAAGGGTTAATACAAGACACAAACACAGCAATCTACCATTGGCACATTGGTGTTGCTGTGAGCAGTCAAAACAATTTGATTGACGCAGCGTTCGATAGTTCGTAAAACAATTATCTTTCAGAAAAATCTGTCCAGAACAGCCACTGTATCTATGTTAATTGGTCACATGTTGCACAACTCCTCATCAAACCTTTGCTAACGATACTAACAGTCTTGAGGAACCATTACATGGTTCACTACAAAATTATAAAATTTCTAATTTTATACTACAACTGCACGAAGAAACTTTCCTGTCGTTCAGTGGTAGAATTAATATTAGCAGCTAGGTGTTGATTGGAAAATTATCATCAATTGAATTATAAAACTCCACAATTTTCATTATATTCTTTTTCCTTCTGTGTTTTCTGTGTTAGAATATAACGTTATTACAGTCAATTGTATTCATATTAACAGACTGATATCACATTTTAGATAATCTGAAACTTAAATGTATGATGAAGTAGAGCTACAACTATCTGTAGCTCACAGGAACACATTGATTATATATTTTTAACAATTATCATAATTTAGCACTTTTAAATGGGCACAAATGTGCTTAAATAAGCCATTACAAATTGTCATACTGTTCGCATTAGCTCCAGTTATTCATCATCTTGAAATTGGTGTGTACTATTGCTGTGGGACCTAAAGGTCAAGGTCATGTTTGAGGTTGTGTTTGAGGTAGTGTAAAAGGTAGTTCACAACTCTGTTGTGAAGTTAGCCCAGTCGTTTGATCATTTGAATCAGTGACCTCAGAATCCCATTTTTTCATCAATAATAAGGTGGTCAATTTTTGCTTTGGAATCAGCCTCATTTTTGACATCTGAGTCTCATTTTGACATCAATCTCACTTTGATATCAGTCACACTTTGATATCAGTCTCACTTTGAAATCAATCTCTTTTCAACATCAGCCTTGACGACTTGAAATAATTCTCAGTTTGGCTACAAAACTCCACTTTGTGGCATTAAATATATTGTTTCTGACCAACAATCTCTTCAAAGAATTGGTAACCTCCCAGTCATCTCTAGGGAATATTTATAAAGACACCAGCCTCACTTTGACTGAAGCCTCCCTTTCATCTTTCGGAAAGCACCACTAATTCCACCTGAAGGCATTTTCTGATAGTTTGTATGATGCTGTGCAGCTATCTGGTGGATATCTTGACCTCCGAACTCCCGTATACGTAGCTGAAGGTCATCCTGAAGGTCAAAGTCAGGTTCGAAGCCATATAGATGGCCCTTGAAAATCCTGATCTGGTCAATGATTTTACTGATGGACCTTAAATGGAAATAGAAATTACGAATTAAAAATGCAATGAAGTCATACTTCTTCTTTATTAAACTTCAATTTTCATTTTTCAATATTTTGTTGAGATTTTTTAAAAGAATTCATTCTTAAATAGTTATTATCGTCAGTTGGTCATTGCAGACAGATAGTCATTACAAAATGGTGGTCAGTATGAAAAGTGTTCACTATAAACAAGTGCATGGTCATAAAATGGATGTAGGTCAGCAGACATATTATCAAAACAGATGGTCAGTACAGACAGGTTGTCATAACAGACAGGTTGTCAGTACAGACATGTGGTCATAACAGGCAAGTACATGGTCAGTATATACAGGTTGTCATAATAGGCAGGTTGTCAGTACAGACAGGTAGTCAGCAGACATGTTGTCAAAACAGGTGGACAGTACAGACAGTTTGTCATAAAATCTGCCAAAACTATCGTTAGAGTTTACAAGTATTTCTAGTTGTAACAGAGAATGATGACTTTATGTAAGATTGGACAGGTCAGGGTGGAACATTGAAGATACCATTACCATTGCACCAGCCTACATTTATCTTGATTATAAATATTATAACAACCCACAGAATCATTTACAACCCTGACTGAAAGTACCTGATCTTGCTCCACTTGTACATGCCATTGGCGAGCTGAAAACTTCCAAACTCTTGTTGCTGGACGTGGAACAGGAAGAGCAAAACAGATGGAATTGTGGGAAGGAGATGGCTGTTGGTGACACTGGTAATGGCCATTCCATCATTCTTCAGGAAGAGCTGAAATACGGAAATAATGAAGTCATTCACGATCAAGTCACATTAAAATAATTTGTTTTAACCATTAATTAACATTCAAAACTTATTAGAGAACCCTTAATACTATGGTTCTCTGAACAAGGACCAATGCAAAGGTGTGGACATATATACTAGGATGTACGTGTTCAAAGAACAGATTTTTTTTCTATTATTTTTTGTGCTTGTACTTGAAATATGCAGACACTGATATGACAGTGTTATGGCCTTAGATGAAATGAATTCAAACCATGTCAATTCAGTCAATACTAAATCAGCTGTCCCACTACCATATTTATCCAGCAACTAAGCCCAGGCCTGTAAATAAACCCACCCATTTCTAATGCAGTTGAACAGTAAAAGTGCCAACAAATGCTGTTTATTTCATCTTGTAATAACCCCCCTCCCTTAAAAAGTCAGACATTTCGTGATTGCCCCTGGGCTTATTGCAGGATCAATACTGTAATAACCCAGCCAGCAGTGTAGGTAACAGCTTTCTCCTTTTCTTTGATAAAAGTGACGTACCAATTGTCCAGACAGACAAGTATTTGCTACTTTTGGCTTGGAACAAAGACAGCCATATTAACTAGACTTCATTGTAAATAAAACATATCTTAATAAATTTTGACAAGTTATCTCACCCTGACAGAAGATAGTTCCTCTATGATGCTGACACATTTGCCCTGCAGATGGCGCCAGGCAGGAAGCTGTTTGACTATTAGGTTTTCCAGACCATCTAAGATGGCAAGACAGGTCCCATAGTTTCTCATATCCTTACAGATCTGGGCTGTGTTGAGGAATTTTGTTAAAATTGCCAGCTGATTCTGAAATGAAAGGAAGAGAAATTTGAGTAAAACAGTCTCCTCATCATTGACATCCTGTAGTCAACAAATTACGTGCCTACAAAATTTGACCTAAAGTTAAAGTAAGACTTAATTCAGTTTTCGTTAGATCTTATAATGATCAGCTGTGGATTTCAGGAAAAGAATCTGTCTGCTCTTATCCACTGCTTGATTGCATGCGGCAACCTATATGTGTGAACCCTAGCTTGCACAATTTGGGCCCCATTCTGACTTTACAGCAGATCTCAATGAAAAGTCCTTACAGCAGACTTTAATGAAAAGTTCTAACAGCGGATTTCAATGGAAAGTTCTAACAGCGGACTTCAATAGAAAGTCCTTACAGCAGACTTTAATGGAAAGTCCTTACAGCAGACTTCAATGAAAAGTTCTAACAGTGGACTTCAATGGAAAGTCCTTACCGAGGACTTGAATGGAAAGTCCTTACAGCAGACTTCAATTAAAAGTTCTAACAGCCGACTTCAATGGAAAGTCCTTACCACAGACTTTATCGGAAAGTCCTATGAAAAGTTCTTACAGCAGACTTCAAGGGAAAGTCCTTACCGCAGACTTTAATGGAAAGTCCTTACAGCAGACTTTAATGGAAAGTCATTACAGCAGACATCAATGGAAAATCCTTACAGCAGACTTAAATGGAAAATCCTTAAAGCAGACTTCAATGGAAAGTCCTTACAGCAGACTTAAATGAAAAGTCCTTACAGCAGACTTCAATGGAAAGTTTTTACAGCAGACTTCAAGGGAAAGTCCTTACAGCAGACTTTAATGGAAAGTCCTTACAGCAGACTTCAAACGAAAGTCCTTACAATAGACTTAAATGAAAAGTCTTTACCACAGACTTCATCGAAAGTCCTTACAGCAGACATCAATAGAAAGTCCTTACAGCAGACTTAAATGGAAAGTCCTTACAGCAGACTTAAATGAAAAGTCCTTACAGCAGACTTAAATGAAAAGTCCTTACAGCAGACTTAAATGAAAAGTCCTTGCAACTGAATTCAGTAAGTGTTTGTAGGTACCTTTGGGTTGCTGCAGTTGACGATCTCCGCTGCCACCCAATGTCCGACCTCCTGGTCATGTTCTATCATTAGCTGGACGGCCGTTTCACGTAATGTTTTATTCTCAAAGAGGCTAGGAGGAAGGGGCTGGTCTGAGTCCTGGCCTGTCAATCTGTAAACAAACCAATCAGAAATTACAAGTCAATGAGGAAAACTATCTAAGATCAGGGTCAGTCAAATGTTGACTAATAAGAAAACATTGCATGAGGAAATTTAAGCTTTAGAATAATTGCTATCTACTTTTTTTTATATCTTGACCATGGATGGTCACCAGAGCTATGACCATGGACAGTCAGCAGACCTATGACCATGGATGGTCAGCAAATCTTTGACCATCTATGTAAAAACTAACCTTTGCATGAGTGGGGTTTTGGAGCCAGTCATGGTCATGGCCACACTTATCCCCTGGGCCTTAGAGTTCAGGTAGTGGACAGGATGGGTCAACTGGAAAATACTCTGAAACAGACAAAAACCATCGAAAGTGATTATATTTTCAAATTATAAAACTATGCACCGGTTAAGCCCACCCCTTTATATATAGTCAAAATTTATTATGAGAAACTCAAATTCCCAATTATCTGAAAGCTTCGTGTGTTATAATGCATCCAGGGCAGTTTATTTCTTCATTCCCAAATATAAAACAAACTCTTCAGGATTATCTCCAAGTTTATCATTGGTCCCAATTACGATTGCATTAAAAATAGGTTCAACTGTATAATATACAAGATCAGCAGTAACAAAGGTAAAGAGGCAAATACAAGGGAAAATGAAATCCAATGTCCACTAGTGAAAGTTCAGTTAAGTGCAGCGACCCCAGTGTGGTGGATTCCTGAATGGAATTCACTAGTTCGACCATTAGGGTAATAGAAATTCCAATCTGATTAAAACCAGATCTTTAATTCCAATCTGATACTCTACGTTCCAATCAAACATGGTACCAGTTTGACTGGAATTAACACAGAGTATCGGTGTGGAATTAAAAGTCTGGTTTTATTCGGATTGTAGAAATTCAAAAGAAAAGATGACCAGGCAGCATCAAATGGACGTCTCTGCAAATTTAAGATTTAGATAAGGTTAGATTGACATGAAATCGCATACAATATTACCCTGCTTCTAAAAGATCTGGATTACACAGGTTTTCCGATTATTTACAGTTTGTTGTAGACAGGTTAAACCATAGTTACCTGTGCTATGAGTGTAAGCTGTTCGGCTAAGGTCTGTGGCGTGTGGTCGAGGAGTGTGAAGGAATCGACACGCCGTGGAGATTTAGCAGGAAGGAATCCGTCATCTGTCGTCAGTTTAGTAACCGGAGTTCTCTTCTCGTGGAATAATGTCAGTTTGGGCGATGTTGACTTACCACGCCCCAAAATGTTCTTCAGCGATCCCCACTGGAAAATTTGACATAAAATAAATCAGTTTTATTGATTTCTTATGTAATCCTGTTTTAAACAATATATAGAAAGAAAACTTCATGAATTTCTCTTTGAAAAGAAAGATTTTTTTTTTATTTATTTATTTGTTTAAATATTGATCAGACTCAATCCTTGCGTGATTACCAAAAACACAATATTTAAGCCCTTACTTACAATCAGAGAACATCACATATCAATAACACTTGCCAGCAGCCTACAGGTTTTGAGAAATGTTAAATGTGTGACATGGAGAAAAACTTTGTTATAAAATATGACTGGACAGAGTTGTGTATCATTATGTATTTTTTCAATACATCTTTTTACTTCTTTTCAATTCAAACAATACCTTATTTCATGACTTGTTCATCATACATAACAGATGTTTTTGTTTACATCAAGTACTTTACCCATTTTCTTCCACATTCTGTTTTTGTAAAAATGGGCTATGTTGAGATATTATAATTCAAACAACCATTAAAACTATTTCTAAATGTGAGGATAAACTTCCGGTTTTTTTTTATATAAAATGTATAAACAACATTATGGTTAGAAATGCAGACATCACAAAATAAAATTACAATCAAAACAAAACAATTATGTCAGTCATTATCAGCCAATGCAACGGAACAGTATAAATCTTTAAACACACAGATATTAACAGCAATCGTATTTCAGCGCTTTTCCTCTTCAGAAGAAATGTTACTTTAGCACTTCAAGAAGCAGCTAGTCAAGATTCATGGGAGCAGTCCGGAATAATTCAGTCTTGGTTTGTAAAAACATCACCCAAAATAATTGTTTCCACAGTAGAAAAAATCAGGACTTTGGCCTCAGCATAAATCTTACTGAATACTATTTTTAGCACTTATTTTCTCGTCATTACCCTAGTTTGCTAAATAAGGTAATAAGGTGCATTGTGATAATTTAATAATTTAAAATCATTCAGGGAGATTTAGATGGGGCGCTAAAATAGGATATACTTTATAATTAATTTGTATTAACATTTTAGCACTGTACTTATATATAGTTAGCACACATTGTTGTATTTATTTTAATACATACTTACTAATAAATACGGATTTTTTGTATATGCGATATGATACAATTGCCCTTACCCATATCAGCCCTCGCCGTATCACACCCCAAAACCGGTATCAGCCCGCAAAACCTATATCACACCCCTTTTGAGTTTTTTTTTCGTTTTTTAATATTCCGAAAATAAAAATAAATCATAAGATAGTAGTTTTTATTAGTAGGTATGTAATAAACAGAATAAAACACGCCTTTTTCCATATCACACCCAGTATCAACCGTCGACCAATATCAGCCCTCGGGCCTTCGGCCCTTGGGCTGATATTGCAGTCTCGGGTTGATACTGGGTATGATATAGAAAAAGGCATGTATTATTCTCTATGTAAATACATTGTATAGCAATTACCGCTGTGTAGATGATTGTTATACTGTGTCACAGTCTAGCAACACACTTCCCCTGAACACCCCCTCCTAATTATACATAACCCAATCAATAAATAACCCCCTTCCCTCCCCTGACGCATGTGTCTCCTCCTATAAGGCCCCCATATATCCCCTCCCCCTTCCATATATGTGTCTCCTCCTATAAGGCCCCCCTATATCCCCTTCCCTCCCCTTCCATATATGTGTCTCCTCCTATAAGGCCCCCATATATCCCATTCCCTCCCCTGACATATGTGTCTCCTCCTATAAGGCCCCCATATATCCCATTCCCTCCCCTGACATATATGTCTCCTCCTATAAGGCCCCCATATATCCCATTCCCTCCCCTGACATATATGTCTCCTCCTATAAGGCCCCCATATATCCCATTCCCTCCCCTGACATATATGTCTCCTCCTATAAGGCCCCCATATATCCCATTCCCTCCCCTGACATATATGTCTCCTCCTATAAGGCCCCCATATATCCCATTCCCTCCCCTGACATATGTGTGTCCTCCTATAAGGCCCTCATATATCCCCTTCCCCTTCCATATACATGTGTAAGTTTTAGACAAAACTTGGCTTTCAGTTTTCTTAAGAAATATTACAATATTTTCCCATTGCTTACCAAGATCATACGTACTTTAAGATTTAAATAAATCATGATGATCCAAAATTACACATTAAGGTAAAGGAATCCACTGCATTGGTTATACTCGTAAAGCCGAGTACCACTCGGAGTTTATTTTACTTGGAGTATTCTCCATTTTATATAAAAGAATAAGCAGCCAAAAAGAGTTCTTCCGGCTAAGAGTAATATCCCTGGTCAAGTTTATCATGTGCTTAAATAATCTAAATTGTGTTGACCATAAATTCTGTGGCTTATCATTCCTGTATGGCAGTACCAGTAAGTATTAGCCATGAAATATAAAGGTCCTGGGTTTGACCCCTGCACTTTTTTTTCTTTTTTTTCTAAATCTTATTTTCAAACACTGAAATTTCAAACGACTACAATTCTATAAAATGTATGGCAACAAGTGCTTTTTATGGAATATTTTGTTTGAAAAGTATACTAGCACAAATATTTCACAGTTGTTACGATGGTAATAATATAGTTTAACTTGTTAATTGGTAACTTTAACCTCAATGCAATCCCAGAGGTAACAGCCTTAGCGCAGTATCCAGAAACACGCATCTTTATATGACTGGCCTGATTTGTAAGATATAGTAGTCTCTCTATTGTCCATAAGCCTTTTATTGTGCTTGCTGTTCAAACCCCCTTCACTGGCTAGTCAAGTTTATCTTCAAGTTGATACATGTAGCTATTGAATTCTCCAAAAAACACGACACACATTCAGACTTGCAGCACTGTACTTCAGTAATATCAAAATGTGCACTATTTTTAGCTGTATTTCACTACAAAATATTTGCACACTGTTCAGCAAAACAATCCAATAAAAAAAAATCACAAAATGTTCCACCTTTTTTATGTTTGTCCCCATTTTTCTCAGCAGCTTTGACTGGAAATCAATTTATGATTAACATCAATATATAGTCTAATTTAGTTATACAGCAACACCAGTCATTGCATTTATATACACCTGAGCCTGAGGTTTGGATACCAAGAAACATGATAGACAATTCTTCAAATGTCTTGCTCACCTGGTTGCCATTTTTCTTGAGTTTTTGAAATACTGTAAACAATCCATTTTTTGCTCTTTAGTCTAGCTTTTAAATACACTTGCGACAACATTTTTCCTCCCCTCTGTTTTTCTGTCTAACAGTACTAGTACTGCCCTTATAACTGTCAGCTACCAACGGTCAAGGACAAGTTTCTCCTTTTCCTATCTCAGTATTATCATTATGACCATTTCAGCTAGTAACAAAGGAGGCTAGTCTATATTTGACACATCCTGCTATCTTGTACTCTGTTCTTTTTTTAAAAAAAATACCAAAACAGAAGATTTTATTATAATCATCCTTTATAATATTGACTACCGGTATATCATTTTATTCTATCCACAGTGTGATATTGAGATTCAGTCTCTGCAATGGACTTTAATTTTTTGTTTGCTGTGGCAAATTTCTTGTACCAATGTTAAGATGGATGGAAAAGATGATAATTGGGGTATTAATTTGCCTGAAAGCTCTTACAACCCATACCAACAGCTAAAAATAAACATTCTAATAATGTTTTGTTTTTTTAACTTATGGAAAAAACAAATGTCTTGCATACCAATGTTTAGACAGCAAAATTTAGCGTAATAAAACTCAAAGCTTACATTATTTTTTAATTCATGATAGGATCTTACACCAGTATATGTCAAACGTTTCCCGACACCACATGTTCTGGTAGCGACTTCTGATTGGCTGAAACCAGAGGTCACACCAAAACGCAACCTCATATGTAGATCTTGACAAGGAAGAAGCAGGTTAATATAAATTGATGAATTGCTGAATTTCTTTTTAATTGTGTATCCAAACTGAATTTTTTTATGATAATTTCAAACTGTTTTATTATTCCTTGTCAGTTCAATTATTTTTAATTGCAAGTTTTAGTAAATACTTTTTAATTTGGAAGAAACCTGTAGCTTGTATTTATTGAATACCTCATCCTGTGGAGAATTCTCTTCTCTCATGTAATATACCTACAATACAGCAGCCGATCAGTAACAGTGTTACAGAACCAACTTGAACAGTAAAAACTTGTCTAATCTGACCCCTAATTATTCGAACAATCTGTCTAATGTGACCCCTTATTATTCTGACAATCTGTCTTATCTGACCCCTGAGTACTCTGACAATCTGTGTTAGTTGATCCCTGAGTATTCTGACAATCTGTCTTTTCTGACACCCAAGTATTCTGATAATCTGTCTTTTCTGACACCCAAGTACTCTGACAATCTGTCTTATCTGACCCCTGATTATTCGTTAATCTCTCTCATTTGACCCCTAAGTATTCTGACAGTCTGTGTTATTTGATCCCTGAGTATTCTAACAATCTGTCTAATCCGACTGCTGAGTATTCTGACAATCTGTCTTATCTGACCCCTGATTATTCTGATAATCTCTCTCATTTGACCCCCAAGTATTCTGACAATCTGTGTTATTTGATCCCTGATTATTCTGACAATCTGTCTTATCTGACCCCTGAGTATTCTGACAATCTGTCTTATCTGACCCCCATATATTTTGACAATCTGTCTTATCTCACCCTCAGTTTTCTGACAATCTGTGTTATTTGATCCCTGAGTATTCTAACAATCTGTCTAATTCGACCACTGAGTATTCTGACAATCTGTCTTATCTGACCCCACATAGTCTGGCAATTTGTCTTATCTCACCCCTCAGTACTCTGACAATCTGTGTTAGTTGATCCCTGAGTATTCTGACAATCTGTCTTTTCTGACACCCAAGTATTCTGACAAGCTGTCTAATCTAAGCAGTCTTCACATGATGTGAAGTTTAATTTGACAGCAGTCAGACTATCAGAACTACAGATGTTATCCAAAAAGGAAGTATAGTGATTTACTACATGCAGGGAATCTACATCTCGCAATGTTGGGCCTAATAAACATGACCATTAAGCCTCACCTTCCTTTTAACAAAAACTCCAATATCTATTTTAAAACAAATTTGGTACAACTTCTAAATGCTGATTATGTCTGACAGCAAAATATATCCAACATAATTAAATCTTTATTCGTTTACTGAAACTATTATATACTAAAAGTAAATTTGACAAAGATAAATTTCTAAACTCAGGAATTTTTTAAGAATTTATTCAGGAGGATCCCATCCTATTGGCTACAGGTATAGTGTGTCTGTGCTCTGAATGGATGAGAGATATAAATACCTTTCTGGGTGTATTGGCCTTGTATATATGTATATCTTCCTCTTCTTTTGCAGATACAAGATCAATACTGTAACCTTCCTCACAGTTGCTAAGTGACTCTTTCAGTTCTTTTCCCTCCGGCAAAGCTGCAATATCCTAACGAATAAAAGCAGAAATTATGGTAATAAATATCAGTCATTTTTATGTCTTATTTTAGAAAGTGATCTGGCCATGCAGGGTCTGTACCTGCCTCTATTGCTGCTCAGGTACTATAAGGGGAGGCAACTCTTTACACCATCTCGGCTCATTTCAGATTACATTGTAATCTAAAATGCTTACATCTATCTTCCGTCTGATGTTGTGAATTCAAGCACAGCTAAACAATTTGAATATGAATTAAATGAACACTGACAAAACCAAGCGCAGAAATACAGTTTTACAGAAAAAATCGAAATCTAAACGTTGCATTGTTTTTACCTAATTCTTTTTTTATTTCAGAGCTGATTGTCAAAGGACTGTAAAAGCCTTATTTTGTCAGAACAACATGTAAGTATCTTCGTATTTATGAGAGGATTAATGTAGGCATAGCCTGTTGTCCAATCCTTTTGATGTTTTCGATAAAGTTTACTGAAATGAAATGAAATTACATCCGTGCTCTTAACATATTTCACTTATCAAATGATATCATAAAATAGTCACTTAAACAGTTGATTGTAACTCACGCTGAGTTGCAGGAAGGCGTGTAGAAGTTCTGTGGCCTCGTTGTTTCGCTCGAAGTCGACAGAGTAATATCCCTCCAGCCAGTAGTATATAAGGTCCATCACCCGTTGTTGTATTCGAGACATGTTATTATCGTTGCTTTGGCCACTGTAATTATACAACACCGAACCCAGATTTTATCAACACAACCAACCAATGTCCGACCTGTGTTCTGATAAACTTTTCGAAGTTCATAAAGCGGTCTCTTACTGAAGGTGGTTTCTTAATACAGGTTCAGTATACATGAAAATTAAATTGTGACGGGGAGTTTTAAAAGTGCATGGCCTCTTAATGCAGATGGTATCTTGAGCAAGTTTAATTGTATATTATTATGATGTATTTATGTATATGTCCTTATTTTGTACTAGTTCATTTATGACTTTATTAAGTTTGATGCAAAGTTAAAAAGATGGTTTAAATTGCCTTCAACTTTGCACCTGTTGTCATTTAAAAAAATCTAATGAACTTATTGAACTATTGTATATGCTAACCCCATTTAAATGTCTTCAGAAAATAATTAAAAAAAAATTGGTACAAATTGCAAAGTGATAGGGCAGCAGTTAATTTTTTGAGAATTGCAAAAAAAGATACATGTACATGTAAATTTCAATAAAATTATCTGTACACATTTACAACGTCACACACATACTTATGCATGTACATGTTTGATATGGAGCTCTTGACAACATTTAGCTAAACTTCAATTTCTTTAATATGATTGCGAAGCTCAGCTTGGAATCATTATGGTTGCTTTGGTGACTTACGTTGACTCAGCCGCTGCTTTGTAGGCGTCCACAAGAAAACTCAGAAGCTTGACTGGCCGCACCAGGTAGCGGAAACAGTACATGAACTGGTGAATGTAGCCGTCCCTTAACGCAGCGCTGGAAACAAAAATCACAAGTGTCGTTATATTCTGTGTATTGAAAAGCAATCTACAATAAAAAAAATCTCTCTCTAATTGAGCGATAAAATTGTAACTTTTCCTAACGTGATATGATTTTCAGGGGACTAAGAGCACACATTTCAGCTACAGTTATTTTTTTCAGGAATTTAGTTAGGCATCAAAATGTAGGCCCAGTCTTATATTAAAACCATTTCAGAGGTAAGTACCAAGTAAGAAATCAAATCCTATATAATCAGAAATCGTGAATTGAATATTGTCGGCATCATTAAAACATTTACATAACATGTTGAATGATGGTAATTTTGCTCAAGCAATGAGAATTTCAAAGTTGACTGAGAGCTCAATAAAAAGTTAAGTTCATGGTATTAGTCAAAATCTCCTCGTCAAAATTCTTGATGTGTGTACAATATTGACTCACTCATGAGCCTTATGAGCCAACTGTTGTTTGGCAATGAGTATTTCTGTCACCATGGTGACTAAATTTACACCATTTTGAGCCATGACTATACTCAATATGGAGATACCTATAGACACAACTGATTATAATTACTTAGCAAACAGGTAGGACATGAGTCCCTCGGGAGTGCCGGACTGAAGGGACAGGATCTCATAGCCAGTTTGAGGCTCCTTCGGATGCTGGAACTGGAGGAAAGGGTTCTCCTGGCAGGGTCTGAGGTGAAGGGGCTGGCCCTTAGGACAGGTAGCGAGAGAATGGAGGTAGCTTACATGAATCCCACTCAACTCGGCTTGTAACATCTGTAAGAAGGAGACACAGAAATAATTAATTAACGACGACAAATTGATGGTAAGAAAAATGTGTTAATAAGCGATTTCGAGAAACCAAAACAATCTGCTCAATGTATCATATCTCAGTCAAGGGCTAAGATTCTGTCACATGTCACACAATCTTAGCTTGAAATTAAGATAACCCAATCTCGGTCAGTTACAGGTAACTTTTGTTTCTTCTCGCATCTGTCAGTTTGGAAAACTATTAAATTTCGCTTTAGTCTATAAGTATCCCATCTGGGACCTAAAATGGAGAAAGATCATTGCTAAATCTGCTTGGTGAATACTAGAGAAAGTGATGTACAGTTTAAACTTGTTTATCTGGAAACTTCATTTCCAAGACAAAATGTGTACATGGGTTTTATTATTTATGACCTTTTCTGCTAAACAATCAGAGCCAGTATCAATGTGGTTCAACTGTATGGTAAAATATTTTTATAATAAAGTCCAAAAAAGCTGTAAGGGGTACTTTTATTTAGGGAGGGGGGAGGGGGTCTTTCAAAGGGAATTTGGCAGCCCCATCATACCTCTATGTGGGTCTTACACAGCTCCAAAAATCGAGTCTTCTGTGTCATATCCTCCAAATCCTTCGACACTTGTGTCATTCTGTTCTTCTGATCACCTGTTAATGAGATTAAATACCTTAAATGAATTTTTCTTTTGCTTCTCTATTAACTGAATCTTTCTTTCCCGACTCTAGTTAAGTTTACCGGGCAAGACTCTGAATCAATGTGTCCTTACCCTTGACAGGTGTTTGCACAATTTTCGACGTTGTGAAGGATCCTTTTAGGACCCCAGGTTGGAGACAAGGGGATTCACCATCATTACAATGGTGTGATGTCACCTCAACGTTGCACTGGCATCATTTCATCAATTAATAAACATTGTGTCAACATTGCATTTATGAAAGGGCGGACAACAGGGGAGAGAAAAAGAGGTATTTGCCCCCTTTGGGTGTGAGATGGGAGTATATCAATCATCGGGAGAAATATTCTTAAGTTGCCGAACACTTGGCAATCCTTGCATTAAGTAATAAACTTTGGTAATAAACTTGCCACTGATAGTATCAGATGATTCAAATCTCGTGGTGATGGTCACTTTTATATACAATTACACTGAAAGCTTACCTTTGACAGCCGAAGGTGACTCTTTGAGCTTACCTGTGACAGCCTTAGATGACACGTTGAGCTTACCTGTGACAGCCTTAGATGACACGTTGAGCTTACCTGTGACAGCCTTAGATGACACGTTGAGCTTACCTGTGACAGCCTTAGATGACACGTTGAGCTTACCTGTGACAACCTTAGATGACTCGTAGAGCTTACCTTTTACAGCCTTAGAGGACACAGGGGGTTTACCTTTGACAGCCTTAGATGACTCATTAAGCTTAACTTTGACAGCCTTAGATGCCTCGTAGAGCTTACCTTTTACAGCCTAAGAGGACACAATGAGCTTACCTTTGACAGCCTTAGATGACTTGTTATGTTTACCTTTGACAGCCTTAGATGACTCGTTGAGCTTACCTTTTACAGCCTAAGGTAACTCATTGAGGTTACTTTTGAAAGCCCAAGGTAACTCGTTTAGCTTACCTTTGACAGCCTTAGGTGACTTGTAGAGTTTATCTTTGACAGCCTTAGATGACTTGTTGAGTTTACCTTTGACAGCCTTAGATGACTCATAGAGCTTACCTTTTACAGCCTTAGATGACTCGTAGAGTTTACCTTTGGCAACCTTAGGTAACTCATTAAGCTTACCTTTTACAGCCCAAGGTAACTCGTTTAGCTTACCTTTGACAGCCTTAGGTGACTTGTAGAGTTTACCTTGGACAGCCTTAGATGACTCATAGAGCTTACCTTTTACAGCCTTAGAGGACACATTGAGTTAACCTTTGACAGCCTTAGATGACTTGTTGAGTTTACCTTTGACAGCCTTAGATGACTCATTAAGCTTACCTTTTACTGCCTTAGAGGACACATTGAGTTTACCTTTGACAGCCTTAGATGACTTGAGTTTACCTTTTACAGCCTTAGATGACTCGTAGAGCTTACCTTTGACAGCCTTAGATGACTCATTAAGCTTACCTTTGACAGCCTTAGGTGTCTTGTTGAGTTTACCTTTGACAGCCTTAGATGACTCATTAAGCTTACCTTTGACAGCCTTAGGTGACTTGTTGAGTTTACCTTTGACAACCTGAGATGACTCATTAAGCTTACCTTTGACAGCCTTAGGTGACTTGTTGAGTTTACCTTTGAGGGATTTATTGAGCTTGCATCTGACATCCTTATCTGACTTGTTATGGTACCTTTAGCGGCATTGGGGCTCATCAAGCTTACATTAAGTGGCTTTTAGTGACTCAATGAGCTTACCTTTGACAGCCTAAAGTGACTTTGTGAGCATACATTTGACAGCCTTAGATAACTCGTTGAGCTTACTTTTGACAGCCTTGGGTGATTCAACGAGTTTGCTGTAGAAGGTCTGTGATTTGCGCTTCATTTTCCGTTCCATCATCAGCTGTTGCTGTATGGCGTTAAGCTGAGACTGAAGTCCGGCGGGGTCATCCTCGTCCTGTCACACATCAGTGGTTACGTTAATTTGTGTCACGTTATTTACTGTAGTGTTATTATCGTATTTTGCAGTAAAGTGAATCCACAAACTCTGATATCTGTTTCTGTATTTTAAAAGATAATCCTCTGTCTAACATAATCTGAATACATTTTTAGCCTACAAGTTTATAAACGTTTTCGTTATTTCGTACACTGTAAATAATGGATCTGGCAGTACACTCTCAAATTGACATGAATTGTGTAAATATGGATTCTTAAAAATGTTCTTTGAAAATTTGATGGGAATGCATACCCTCTGTGTAAAATGTAGTTATACAGTTTATTATCTGAATTTATAGATCTGAAATGTACTTACAATTTTTTTTTCTGTTTTGAATTTTATGATATTGACAATTTATCTTATACGCTCTGTCAAAAAAGTACTTACGATTTCCTGTCTGAATTTGTCAAGCTCCGGAGAGCTAAAGAGTTCCATCATGGCACTGTGAAACACAACATGTCCCTTCCTGTTCCTTAGATGTGCGTCACCAGGGTTGTTATCGAGGGAGAGCATGGACATGTTACGAGACAGATTAGTAACTGGGAGAACCTCGGCTACCTCACTACTGTGCGAGGAGGTACTACCGTCCCTGTGGACTGCCTTCAGAGGCTTGGGACCTGGCTGTACATGGCCATCGGGCCTGTTGTTAAGGACCAAACTGTGGCGTGGCGGTTTTTCAGGTGTCACCCGTCGTTTTAATTTAGACATGTCAGCAGTCGGTGCAGAATTAGAGGCTAACACTTGTCGTGTGGAAGACATGATTGATGAATCGGGCATAGGTTTTCGCTGACGGTCTGTACTAGTAGATGCAAATTCATCTGTTTTATCAGGGGAGGCAACCCATGCGTTTTGCCTACCCTGTGAAGGTGGAGGTTTCTCAGATACAACATCCGACACTTTTTCTTCATCTTGTATCAAGGAGTTTGGATTATTAGTGTGACTGGCTTTTGCAATGTCAAGATCCCAGTCACGAATTTGGGGCACCTGAACAGTTCCATTCTGTAGGAGTGGGTTCTCACCGTTCGCCATGTGCATCTGTAGCCGTGGAGAAATATCAGTATCCCTGCGTAAGGGATGTAACTCCATTGATGGTGTATCGTAACCGGAAGTTCGGAGAGTATATTCTTGATTATTTCTAGATTTGTCCGTATGTTGTTTTCGGCGGTAACGTCGCCGTCTATCAAACTGTTCCGTATCTGAGGAATCAGATGTATTGCGATGCTGAGATTTCTGTTGCACTGACAAATGTCTATGTTTTTGCTTATCCTGTTGCCGTGACACACTCTGCTGGTACGCGGAGTCAGCTGGAAGTTTCTGCGGAGTCTGAGGAAGCCCCGAATCCGAGGGACTTGAAGATGAAAGGTTTGGGTCCTGATCTTCTAACCCTGGCATCGGTAACTGAGCTGAAGGACTCTGTCGCTTGGACAGAGGGCTCTGGTCATACAATTTGGCACTATTCTTCATTAGTCTCCGGGACCTAAATAGACCATTAATAACTTCTAGTCATAACATAATACATTTCATTTGTTAAGTAAGAACAAATACTAGGTAAAGTTACCAAATTGTTCAAAAATATTTCAATCTTAATCCTTCAATAATGATATTTAATATCAATAAATTCAATTAAAAACATTTTATTGATAATTACATTAAAATTACAGATGAACAGATAATAAGAAATATAAAACATAACATATATTATTAAAAGGATGACACCACAGGCTAGGCCTATATTAGGCTTTTCCTTATCAATGAAACTATTTTCACCTTTAGTGATATTTTGAATCATTTTTTTATCATCCAAACAACAGATTTAAATCATCCAAGAACGAAAGGAACTGAAATGATATGTAATTGTCTTGATATCATTTCGTCCTTACGCTAACATCCGGGCCAACAAGAGGGATTAACATAAGATGTAAAAACTTGTTTCATAATTGTTGTAAATAAAGTTTATATATTATATTGCGTCCTTAACGAACACTATTTCGCCTTTACCAATTAACCTTTGAACTAGAACATTTGACCACTTGACCTTGACATACTTACCCTTTAAGACCATTGGCTGCATCATATAAATTAAACAGAAGATCGGAGCCCCAGTAGAGATCCGAGTACTTCTCTGTAACGGCACTGGCAAACGTGTCCAACTTCAGGTTACCCAAGGAGGTGATGTACTCAGCTGTGTAACGGTAAAAGTTTAACGGTCATATCAACGGCATGTTCAGTCTGATGAATTAATATAGTGGTTTCTGATCTGGTTAAATTCTTTTATCATAACAAATTGATTAAATACTTAGTTAATCATACCGATGGCTTATTCATGAGGATATATATTTCACTTGATTTAGTATGTTTGAATAAATTTTTGCTAGGCAATTTGTAAACAAGGCAAAATATTGCGATCCATCCATAGCCAACCTTCGGGAAAAAGTGGTATGGAAAATTATCAAAGGGCCATGCATATATTATATATTAAACATTACATAGCATTAATTGATAGTGAACTTGAGATAACATTTACATGTATTACTACTTGATGCTAAGAGTTATGTCCCATTTATTTGCTCTGACATCTGGGCCAACAATACTGATTAGTATAAGTTGTATATCTCATAATTGTTGTACAATGTGTAATGTGGCAGTATAACAAGGTTTTACTGTATAATGATGACAGTATAACAAGGTTTTACTGTATAATGATGACAGTATAACAAGGTTTTACTGTACAATGGAGGCAGTATAAAAGGGTTAACTGTATAGTGGTGACAGTGTAACAAGGTTTTACTGTATAATGGTGGCAGTATAACAAGGTTTTACTGTACAGTGGTGATAGTATAACAAGGTTTTACTGTATAATGGTGACAGTATAACAAGGTTTAAATGTATAATGGTGGCAATATACCAAGGTTTTACTGTATAATGGTGGCAGTATAACAAGGTTTCCTGCAAATGGTGACAGTATAACGGAGTTTACTGTATAATGGTGATAGTATAACAAGGTTTTACTGTATAATGGTGACAGTATAACGAGGTTTACTGTATAATGGTGGCAGTATAACAAGGTTTTACTGTATAATGGTGGCAGTGTAACAAGGTTTTACTGTACAATGGTGGCAGTATAGCAAGGTTTTACTGTACAATGGAGGCAGTATAACAGGGTTTACTGTTTAGTGGTGACAGTATAACAAGGTTTTACTGTATAATGGTGGCAGTATAACAAGGTTTTACTGTATAATGGTGACAGTATAACGTGGTTTACTGTATAATGGAGGCAGTATAACAGGGTTTACTGTATAGTGGTGACAGTATACCAAGGTTTTACTGTATAATGGTGATGGTATAACAAGTTTTCACTGTATAATAGTGGCAGTATAACAAGGGTTTACTGTATAATGGTGGCAGTGTAACAAGGTTTTACTGTATAATAATGGCAGTATAACAAGGTTTACTGGATAATGGTGATAGTATAACAAGGTTTTACTGTATAATGGTGGCAGAATAACAAGGTTTTACTGTATAATGGTGGCAGAATAACAAGGTTTTACTGTATAATGGTGGCAGTATAACAAGGGTTTACTGTATAATGGTGGCAGTGTAACAAGGTTCTACTGTACAATGGTGGCAGTATAGCAAGGTTTTACTGTAAAATGGAGGCAGTATAACAGGGTTTACTGTATAGTGGTGACAGTATAACAAGGTTTTACTGTATGATGGTGAAAGTATAACAAGGTTTTACTGTATAATGGTGACAGTATAACGTGGTTTACTGTATAATGGAGGCAGTATAACAGGGTTTACCGTATAGTGGTGACAGTATAACAAGGTTTTACTGTATTATGGCGACAGTATAACAAGGCTTTACTGTATAATAGTGGCAGTATAACAAGGGTTTACTGTATAATGGTGGCAGTATAACGAGGTTTTTCTGTACGGTGATAGTATAACAAGGTTTTACTGTATAATGGTGACAGTATAACGAGGGTTACTGTATAATGGTGGCAGTATAACAAGGTTTTATTGTATAATGGTGGCAATATAACAAGGTATAACAAGGTTTTACTGTATAATGGTGACAGTATAACGAGGGTTACTGTATAATGGTGGCAGTATAACAAGGTTTCCTGCAAATGATGAGTATAACGGAGTTTACTGTATAATGGTGATAGTATAACAGGGTTTTACTGTATAATGGTGACAGTATAACGTGGTTTACTGTATAATGGTGGCAGTATAACAAGGTTTTACTGTATAATGGTGACAGTATAACGTGGTTTACTGTATAATGGTGGCAGTATAACGAGGTTTTTCTGTACGGTGATAGTATAACAAGGTTTTACTGTATAATGGTGAAAGTATAACCAGGTTTAAATGTATAATGGTGGCAGTATACCAAGGTTTTACTGTATAATGGTGATGGTATAACAAGTTTTCACTGTATAATAGTGGCAGTATAACAAGGTTTTACTGTACAGTTGTGATAGTATAACAAGGTTTAAATTTATAATGGTGGCAGTATGCCAAGGTTTTACTGTACAGTGGTGATAGTATAACAAGGTTTAAATTTATAATGGTGGCAGTATGCCAAGGTTTTACTGTATAATGGTGGCAGTATAACAAGGATTTACTGGATAATGGTGGCAATATAACAAGGTTTTACTGTATAATGGTGGCAATATAAGAAGGTTTTACTGTACAATGGAGGTAGTATAGCAAGGTTTTACTGTATAATAATGGCAGTATAACAAGGTTTACTGTATAATGGTGGCAGTATAACAAGGTTTTTCTGTATAATGGTGGCAGTTTGACAAGGTTTTACTGTATAATAGTGGCAGTATAACAAGGGTTTACTGTATAATGGTGGCAGTATAACAAGGTTTTATTGTATAATGGTGGCAATATAACAAGGTTTTACTGTACAATAGAGGTAGTATAGCAAGGTTTTACTGTATAATAGTGTCAGTATAACAAGGTTTACTGTATAATGGTGGCAGTATAACAAGGTTTTACTGTATAATGGTGACAGTATAACAAGGTTTTACTGTATAATAGTGGCAGTATAACAAGGGTTTACTGTATAATGGTGGCAGTATAACAAGGTTTACTGTATAATGGTGAAAATATAACAAGGCTGTATAATAGTGGCAGTATAACAAGGGTTTGTTTTACTGTATAATAGTGGCAGTATAACAAGGTTTTACTGTATGATGGTGACAGTATAACAAGGTTTTACTGTATAATGGTGGCAGTATAACAAGGATTTACTGTATAATGGTGGCAATATAACAAAGGTTTTACTGTATAATGGTGGCAATATAACAAGGTTTTACTGTACAATGGAGGTAGTATAGCAAGGTTTTACTGTATAATAGTGGCAGTATAACAAGGTTTTACTGTACAATGGTGGCAGTATATCAAGGTTTTGCTGTATAATGGTGACAGTATAACAAGGTTTTACTGTATAATGGTGACTGTATAATAAGGTTTTACTGTATAATGCTGGCAATTTTACAATTTTTAACTGTATAATAATGGCAGTATAACAAGGTTTTCTGTATAATGGTGGCAGTATAACAAGGTTTTACTGTACAATGGTGAAAGTATAACAAGGTTTAACTGTATAATGGTGGCAGTATAACAAGGTTTTACTGTATAATGGTGGCAATATAACAAGGTTTTACTGTACAATGGAGGTAGTATAGCAAGGTTTTACTGTATAATAGTGGCAGTATAACAAGGTTTTACTGTACAATGGTGAAAGTATAACAAGGTTTAACTGTATAATGGTGGCAGTATAACAAGGTTTTACTGTATAACGGTGGCAGTATATCAAGATTTTTCCCAGATTTTTGCTTGTTACAATATAATGATACATCACAAGAAGGAAGAGAAATTATAATGTACCCATGGCAATATCCTCCACACCGTTTTCCATGTATCCATCAAAGGCAAACTCTTCCCTGAGCAGATGAACAACTTGCCCCAGTTTTTGTTGCTGTTTCACATTGACATTGCTAAGCAACCGTTCCATGAGACTTCCTGGTGGAGGGGGTTTGTAGCCAGTGTTCATACCACTGACCCCACTGTCCTTGGAGGGGGAGGGGGAAGAAGACTGGGAGCGAGTCCTGGGGGGTTGGGTAAAATACTGTCTACCTGGACCATCTTCTGGGTACCCAACGATGGTCCGAGGCCGGGGGCCAGTATTTAGTTTGGAAGACTGTGAGTACATGTCTCCGTTAACATTCCTATTTGGGCCCCGCCTGTTGGTGGTCAGCACAGAGTCATCATATATATGGCCAGGGGCCAAACTCATTGTCCCTCTTTGACTAGCTTGTCCCTCGATGCCCTGCTCCCCCTCAAGGGTATCGAGTGCATGAGCAGACTTGCTGCGCCATAAGTAATCTCCCTGAGGTTGACTAGACAGAGGGGAGGCCTTCCCTTGACTGTGTAGTGTTCTGAACCCTGTAGTCTTTTGAACAAGGTCGCGGGCAGTGTGACCCCCACGGGATCTATTACTGTTGAAAGAACTGTTAAGAATTGCACTGTTATCGGCAGAGGAATTGTCTGAGTATATATGTTGCTTGGGACTTCTAACTGAGCGGACACTGTGGTTGTCACAATTGCTGCCAGAATGGGGATGGTCGTCCCCGATCAGGGGCCCAATGGCCTGGGGAAGGATCCCAGTGGGGACGAGCTGTATAAATCCTGTACGGGGATCCTGCTGTAGTTGAACCTGTAGTGGGTAGCCTGGCATCAGACCTCCACTGTACTGCTGGGGTCCAATGGGCACACTGCTATTCTGGCCAATCAGAGAGGGTTGATATTGTGTGGGAATATTTATATTTTGCTGTTGTGCATTCATTGAGGGCATGGCAGTGTTAGATAATGGCGAGGCAATCTGTGTCTGTCCTTGGATCACTGAATTTTGTTGTCCAGGAATCTGACCTTGTCTTTGGGGTTCAACTTGAGGTTGATCCTGAAGTTGACCTTGACTCACATTTGGAGTGTTTTGATTGGGTGACTGAGCCATTTGACCTTGAAGAAAGTTTGCGATTGCCGAGGCAAGAGCTTGTGTGTTAGGAACTGCCCCTTGTTTCTGTATTTCAGTGAGCAGAGACTCTAAAGGACCACTTGTCTCTGACTTAGTATCACTCGATGTCTTACTGTTCACATCGCTTGTGTCCTCACTTGGTTTCGTACTTGTCACTTTGCTTGTCTTCGGACTAGCAGCTGGTGACTTCGAAGACTTTCTAGACACTTTACCGTCGGCCTTATCCTTTCCTGGCTGACGATGTTGCATTAGATTTTTCTTTAACTCTTTCAGTTTTTTTACCACTTCTTTGTCCTTGTCATTTGGTTGGCAATCTTTTGGACTCATCTGTTGCTTAGCAACTTCCGTAACCTCTGGAGCTGGGGTCACAGATTGCTGGAGGATGATTGGTTTGAAATGAGTGGCAGTTGACATGAATTGGGAAGGAAGCCCGGAATGACCTTTGCCCTCTGGTAGGTTGGATATTGGTTTAAATGCTGCAGTGGATGAATTGATGGCAGCGGGCCGGATGAGTGATCCCCCTTGGATTGACCGGAAAGCAGATCCATTGGACAACTGCGGAGGATCTTGGATTTTTGGAGGATCACTTGGCATGGCAAAGGCCATCTTATCTGCCTGTGAGATAAAGAATAATAATATCACAGTATTAAGTTACAGAATTTCATCATACAATTGCAATGTCACACTATCACCCTAACTCAGATGAGTCCAATACATCATAAACTCAAACAATTATGAGTCATTTATACCACTTCAACACATAGATTCAGAGGTCGACTCAAATACAACTTAAAAACAAACTCAGATGTGTCAAATGCAACAAAATTTGATGAGATGTACATATGATCTGGTGAGAACTTACAAGTCTTTCAAAGGCCTCCTGGTACAGTGCCTGACAGATGGAGCTTGACGGTATTCCAAGTTCACCTTCATGCTCACCACATACCTGTGAAGGTCAAGGTCAAACAGGATTTCACTAAGAGGTCAATAAATAGGTACATGTACTAGTATGATATGCATCAAAATTGATTTGACTCATACAATAAGTTCATTGGACAATTACGTGACATTATAAAACATATCCTACATTTTATTTTGTCTTGTATGATATTCTTATTGTAAAACTCTAACATCTGATGTCCAAAGTCGACAATGAAAATACAAAAATTCATCCTATCATTTGTGTGCATAAATAATGGTTGAACAGCATTTTTTCAATGTCAATACCGACAGGAACATTGCAGAAAGCTGTTAAATACATGTATTTTTGATCTAAATATAGGTATAAAAAAACACTAAATAAAAGGCTGAAACTTTTACATTTACGGTAAACCTTCGGTCAGTTCGAACAAAATTAAATAAATATTGATGGCCCTGTTTGGATTATACAAAATTATGCTTCAGAAAATAAGCGTGAGTTCGAACTATCGGCAAAAATTTCGGCAAAGTGCAAATCAAGTCACAAACATATACCCGACATATTTTCTTCACCGGAGTATACCTCTATATATGCAATGTAAGGTCGATACGTAACAACGACGGCCTGGCATAGAACAATGGCACATTTATAAATGGGTAAAATGATAGTATATTATTTAATTCAATGTTAATAGTATATTATTTAATTCATTGTTAATTGATCATTAAACTTTCTTCATTTCGTGATAATTATGATCGTTATTGCGAAGCAGAGGCCCTTGTGTAGGCCCCGAAACAGTACACGTTTCATTTGTGACACAAAAGTTAAGACTACCTAGCTTGTATCAGAGACCTAAATATTGAGTCTCTGCGTGGTTAGGTTTTATTTGAATCAGAAACTATTGTATATATTATTTCGTAATGAATGGTCCGTTTAATAAATTGAAAACATAGTCTACATAACCTGTTGCGTTTACAAAGCGCTACTGTACAGTAAATATAGGTCTATATGTTAGTAAAATTAGGTCAGAACATCAACATGTCTGCTTTAAATTATAAGTGATATAGTCCTAATACCTACCAAACTTATTTGACACCTTCAAAATTACCCATCGCTAATTGGGACACCTGTGGATTGTCTGGGCTTTGACATGAATGCTAATCACGTCACTCACCATGGCTGGGCGGCCGATTCCTACCGCGACATCGTGTCCTGCCCTACCTGGTGTGAGGGCACACGTTTACAGGTAATACCTTGATTGGCAATAATTAAGGGATGTCTGGTCGCAATAAAATAATCATAATGCTTAGTTAACACTGTATTTGACAACACACGGGCGATTTCTTAGCGTACAGCCATACAGCGTGACATCAGTTCGTACTGATCGCATGTTATTTATACATTGTCGGGCCTAAGTTGAAATTGGCTGTCTCGTGCACGATGTATTTTTCAAACAATGTAAAAAAAATGAATCAACGCTAAAATCTGTGACATATATTTATGGTTTGTCGGTCACAGCTGTACTGCAATGCTCACACATACAACCCATTACCCTAAATGTGTCTGTTGATCAAAGTATTGGCATTTTTCCGGGGCCGATCGCCGCGAGCTTTCAATGGAGTTTGCCGAAAAAAAATCTTACTTTACGTTTTCATTTGACAAGTTCGGACTATCCGAAATAGGGTCAATCAGAGTTTGAACTATCACTAGCTAGAAAATTATTGTTTTTATTGAAAAAAATACGTGTTCGAACTATCCGCCGATTCGAACTGACCGAAGGTTTACCGTATATAAATTTTTAAGATGTAAAATCATGTGACATTTTCAGGAATATCACTAAACAGAATTACATGTAACTTTACCTCGGACACATCTTCAATGGACGGCCGCTTCTCCGGGTCTTCTTCCACCATTTTAGCCAAAAGGTCCTGCAGTTCATCGCCAACCCCCGAGGACTCGGTAGAATATTTGTTCCCAATAGCATACCTCATGGTAACACCCAGCCCAAACAAACACATCTGTGAATAAGATTGTTATACTTTATTATAAACTATAAACGTCAAGGGAACAAAAGTAATGGAGGGTGGAAACAGCTTAACGGTACAAAATTCAATATTTAGTGTTCTTTTATCTTGCAATGTACAAATTAATACTTTTACATGTTTCGACTAGCGGTCATCATAGGTTTTACATGTTACGACTAGCGAGGCTAGCAGTCATCATAGGTTTTACATGTTTGGACCAGCTAAGCTAGCAGTCATCATAGGTTTTACATGTTTGGACCAGCTAGGCTAGTCATCATCATAGGTTTTACATGTTTGGACAAACTAGGCTAGTCATCATCATAGGTTTTACATGTTTGGACTAGCTAGGCTAGCCATCATCATAGGTTTTACATGTTTGGACCAGCTAGGCTAGCAGGGCTAGCCAGGTTTTACATGTTTGGACCAGCTAGGCTAGCAGTCATCATAGGTTTTATATGTTTGGACTAACTAGGCTAGCCATCATCATTGGTTTTACATGTTTGGACTAGCTAGGCTAGCAGTCATCATAGGTTTTACATGTTTGGACCAGCTAGGCTAGCAGTCATCATAGGTTTTACATGTTTGGGCTAGCTAGGCTAGCAGTCATCATAGGTTTTACATGTTTGGACCAGCTAGGCTAGCCATCATCAGAGGTTTTACATGTTTCGACTAGCTAGGCTAGCAGTCATCATAGGTTTTACAAGTTTGGACTAGCTAGGCTAGCAGTCATCATAGGGTTTACATGTTTGGACCAGCTAGGCTAGCAGTCATCATAGGGTTTACATGTTTGGACCAGCTAGGCTAGCAGTCATCATAGGTTTTACATGTTTGGACCAGCTAGGCTAGCCATCACCTAGGTTTTACATGTTTGGACTAGCTAGGCTAGCCATCATCAGAGGTTTTACATGTTTCGACTAGCTAGGCTAGCAGTCATCATAGGTTTTACAAGTTTGGACTAGCTAGGCTAGCAGTCATCATAGGGTTTACATGTTTGGACCAGCTAGGCTAGCAGTCATCATAGGTTTTACATGTTTGGACTAGCTAGTCTAGCAGTCATCATAGGTTTTACATGTTTGGACCAGCTAGGCTAGCCATCATCAGAGGTTTTACATGTTTGGACTAGCTAGTCTAGCAGTCATCATAGGTTTTACATGTTTGGACCAGCTAGGCTAGCAATCATCATAGGTTCTGATGACAGCTAGCCTTGCTCGTTGAAACATGTGAACCGATATAAAATAACTGAATCTAGATGTTGAAGCTCTAGCTTACATATCCTTTGTATTTACCTTTCGTGATGGCACTTTTCTGAATACCATTGGGTATCCATCTTTGATTCCTACAATGACCTACCTATGACCATAGACATCCAGGACATTGGTTCTCTCCCACTCCGAGAGGAGTCCCATATTTAAATCAATACTTTGGATAGTTACTTTTCCAATAATTGTGAACTTATACTGTTTAAGACATAATAAATGTCTTAAGCATTTAAAATTTTGGATCAGAAAGATCGCAGAAAACTTCCAAAATTCTCAAAAGATAATAATGATAGACACATTTTTTTCCATTGCTCCAAGTTAGTCAGTCAATGATATGGTGGAGATCAGGATTGGACATTATAAAGGCACCAGGAAGAGGATCGCAGTCAAACATTCAAAACAGTTTGGTCATTTATAAGGTTTTTTGAAACTAGAAAAATAATCTGCAATTTAGAATGCAAATTCAGGTCATATGATAAACACTTAAAGATGAACTACATGAACATAACACTAAAGAAGAGGACATTTTCACAGTGTGGAGTAAGTAAACGCAAAAATATCCGCACGCAACTATTTATTGATAGATTATATAGAATACATGTATATAGAAAAAATGAGATTAACGACCAACTAAAAAACTAGCTGCTTTCACCCTTCACAGAAACCTGAAGAGCCCTATGAAGGGTGAAAGCAGCAAGTTTTTTAGTCGGTCGTTAATCTTATTTTTTCTTTATTTACTTCCTTCACATGGACATTTAATCCTTTTTTTTTTTTATTATACATGTATATATATAGAGAAAGAGAATATAGAGAATATAGATTTCAGAACTATAGACAATGCAAACATTTCAACACTGCAAACAGTCTAAAGAGTTTAAAGAGAAATAAGAAAATGTCCACACACAAAAATGTCCCCTTTTACAGTATTTTATGTCATCCTGTGCAGCAATTCAAGTTGTCTACAGAAATATAACCCAGAGAATCAGTGACGGTGGTTTAAACACTCAAGATCGGACTTTTACTGTTCTATGATATTTCTGCACATGTTCTCCAGATTAGACCGTACCTTGTCGGAGAGCTGGCCCTTCTGTTGGATTTCCGGAGCCATGTAAATCACTTCTAGGGGTTTATCCTCGGGAATGGCTTTAAATGCCAGAGCCCCGCTCTCCCTCAGTAAAAGTGTGTCAGGAGAAATGTAGGCCGCTGTGGAAACCAAATCATATCAAATAACACAACCACTATACACATAAGTCATTTATATAACCAGATTTGTAAATATTTATCTGACGTGTTCCCTAAATCCTAATCCATGGATCCTCCTTTTGATGTTAAAATCTGTTTCTGCAAACATTTGCATCCACTTAAATAACCAATTGGGCGGTATCCCATCATTTACCTCTATTTTACATTTGCAATGAAGTGCATATAGTAATATTCTAATGGAATACAAGATAGACATGAATCATTTTATTTATAAAGCTGTTGAAAGTTACGAGATCTGTTTAAATTTACCACAGCTTTGTTTGCACAAAATTTGTTCAATATTTTTTTTTATCGTACTTGCCAACTGTATGAAATTCGCATGGGGGAATTACGTGTTCAGAATTAAAAGAATAAAAAAAATGTGTATTTGTACACCCTAGATAAAAAATTACACTGTAAATGGTATCTTTTGAGCTGTTCTTTCAATTAATATAAAAACTTAGAGAATTGGAATAGTTTAGCAAATTCACTGATTGAAAATGCTCACCATTAGGGTCCAAAATTGGGAGTCATCCTCCAAAATTGGGAGAGTTGACAAGTATGAGATTTTATTAACCAATTTCAGCAATACATTTGTGTATTTTTATTTCTTATTCATGTAAAGTCATTGTAAACTCACGTAGATGTTTTCTCTTCTTGTTGAGTGAAATGGTTCCTTCACGACATACTGCCCACACCTCATCTTCCACCAGGGGGCGTTCCAACGTCTCTAAAATGTTGCTCAGTGAAAGGCCCTGAACATGTACAACAAAAGTTACCTCAGTTGATCAAGAACAGAACTTGAAGTCATATTATATAAGTAGTAATACATTACAGAAAATGTATTCAAGCCGTCATATTATAAATAAGTAACATTGTAAAACTTATTTATCTGAAAAACTGTACAAGTAACAGAAACTAGAACTGTAAGCCAAAGGCTTACTAAGGCAAAGCATTGCAAAGCAATCCATAGTCTCCCACCAGTAACAAGTATTTCGCACAAAGGGGCATAACTCCATCAAAAAGGGTCGAAATATAAAATTATTATGCTGGTGCACAACTACAATGTGCATAAGATACCGATCATTTATGCAAAGTTTCAATAAAATTCACCTGTTAGTTAAGGAGGAGTTTTCCGGACAATTAAGTTACTGTGGACGACAGACAGACAGACAGGGGGATTCCAGTATACCCCCCCCCCTACATTCGTTGCGGGGGTATAACTAATCTAGATCTAGTCAGTAGAATCTGTATGTTATGAGATTTTATCTATTCTGTTTAAGACAGGACTCACTGTATAAGTCATTCTACAGATTTTTAGAAAAAAATTGAAACAAAAAATATGCCTTCTGTACTGAATACAACAGTTTTAACTTAAATGAGTCAACACAAAGCAAACAAAAAAACGTATAAAAGAACAGCCACTTTGATTATAATATATTAAATATATTTATAATATACTTAGCTTTACCTTATTCTTGCGGGGCCTCTTTCCCTGTGAATCTACTGCACCTGAGGAGTGGCGAGCTTCCAGACTAGAGTTAACTGCCCCTGATAGTGGTGAGTCCTTGAACTTTGACCCCTCTCTGTGTAATGGTGTATTTTCACCATGCTGCATCTTCTGGTTGTCACTCTGATTGGTTCCAGTTGAATCACAACCTTCAGTCATATCACTAGATTTCACTACTTTATTTAAGTCTGGTTTCTTTGCCACCGGCGGTTTTTGCTGCGATCCCTCTTTATAGCTGTCTTGGGAGGATCGTGATGATTTCCTTGCCGCAGGAGTTGGTCTGTTGCCACGGTTACCCGTTGGCATGGGAACCCCTGTGTGTAACCCCCGAACAGGCATGTCTTCGTCCTCTGTTTGCTCTGTTGGGGGTGTGGTGGTCTGCCCCTGGGGTGGGGCTTGTAGATGTAATGGGGTGGAATGTTCCAGAGGGCCAGGAGGAGAATTTGTACTGACCTCTCTGCCCTCTGTATCCCCAGTGTTCCCACAGACCTCTGCCGCTGGCGTAGAAATTAAGTTAGACTGGGTCTGAAGGTAATTCGCTAAGCTTGCTGTAACATCGGCTAGACTCACTGTTGCTAAATCTGGAAAGAAAAAGATATTCACAGAATCAACATGCTATCTGACTAAATGTAAACGGAGCAAGGCCAGGGGTGCCTGACAACAGGTAGCTCAGAGAAAGAAAATAACAGAGATGCCAAGTGTTGAAATGACATCAGCAGATCAATTTTAGTTTCTACAACATCTCTAAGCAGAATTAAGACACAGATAAAACCCCTCAATTCTGCTGAAGTCCACACATTCATTGTCTCATTCAATCATGTAATGGGATACTTTCCCCGAACGTGCAGATGAATTTATTAACTAATTTTTAAGCCTATTTACTATCTATTTTAATCTTCCTAACCATATTATAAAAAATGTTTTTTTGAAATTTTATTATCTTTAAAAGATATATTAATACATCTTAACATGAATGGGATCATAAAAGATTTGAAAAGACAGAGCCAAAACATATTAAAAAAAAAAGAAGTATAAAAATAAATCTTTGAAACTTTTCAATTATGAAACGAGGAAAATCATTTCAAAGAAATTCACAAAGATGTTATCAAAAAACAGGTAACAGTGCAAGGTATATTTTGTAAATATCAGCAGGAATGGTTGGGCAGGATTCTCGGATGTCAATTATGGACTTACCTGGAGGTGTAGGTGTGGGTAGAGCAAACGTTTGTGCGATGTCCACACAGATTTCTTGTGATGACTTCCCAATAAGCTCCTCCTCACAAAGGGTGATGATATCCTCAAGTGAAGGTCTTGCGGTCAGGACCTCTGCTGTCATACATCCAAACAGGTCCCGTAACTCTGGCGTGATTTCGGGGCGGCCTGGCTCAACATTGTACTCCGCAGCATAGAGCAGGGTCATCCCCAAGGAATACAGATGGGACTGTCAAGGGAGATAAATCATGTAAATAACAAAGGGGAAAAACTCACAATGTCAAGGGAGATAAGTCATGTATAAAATAAGGGGGATAACTCAAACTATCATGGGAGATAACTTACTTAACTGAAGTCTCTCCACACCAGTAGGTGCATAAGGCCTCCATGCTTATCAAGGGAGATAATTAATTCACATATAAAACAAAGGAATAACTTACTGTCAAGAGGAAAGTCATTTGAATAAAAGGGGAATAATTCACACTTAAAGGCCAGAAACCATTAGAATTGACTAAATGGGTATGCAGACTATTTCATATCCAGTGGTCTAGGATAGAAAAAAAAATCAAATTGGGGTTTAAATCAAAACTTTCTATGATATCTGCCTTCAGACTGACATAAAACAAAGTACGATATACCATTCAGGAAAATTAAAAGCCCAACCTTCTAAAACATTTGCCTGTTAGTATTATGCAAATGACAACACAAGGATAATTCAGCATATTTTCCATATATACATGTATATTGAAGACAGCCTAATTGTAGTTTGAGCTGGGAGTTTGTCAAGGAGAATTATTCTGAAGCTCTTTTTCCCAAATGTGTGAGAATTTTCACACAATTATCATGACCACTTATAAACTCAGCTGTAAACAAGTTCAAATTGAGTCATCTAATGTACCATAACATTGCTAAAGTAAGGCATTAAAATAATCAGATAAGCCTCAATGCCCCAGTGGGAAGTCAACAGCGGAAAGCAAGGTATTAGTGGTAAGCTTATTCTGCTACTGGATGGATATATATCTTATTGCATAAGCCTAATTAATGCCCAGGGCACTTAACAAATTGGCTTATTTGGGGGTGCTTATTAGGATGATAAAATGTAAGTTACTGTATGAAAGAAAATGTTGTGCTTTTTACAATTTTTATCTTTAAAGAACCTTTTAAACATTCCAATGTGGCTGGAGGTTTGCTTTGGAAATCAAATGTTTCATTTGCTTCAGGAGAAGTCCAACCATGATCACTTGACAAACATTTCTGCTTTACGTGTTAGTTCTATAAATTATTGACTGCAGGGCCTGGTCTGGTCTGGGAGGGGGAGAGGGTCTATATAATTTCAATTTCACCTGAAAAAGTGGGATGGGTGTTTAGAGGGAGAGGGGCGCTAATTATGGCGAATACAGTAGGAGAAGAAAATACGACACACTTGACCAGTATTCCGACCGGAGTCCTCCCAATCTCAAGAGATCAATCAATCTCAACAAATTGAGCTACTCATTCACCACTACACATTTATCCCTTTCACCACTGTAGACCATAATGGACTCATCCAAATAAATGTATGGTAGAATCTTCTAAAGTTACATAGGGGTGAAAGGGTTAAGCTGGACTTGCCTAGTCTTTGATTGTAAGGTTCAAATATGACTTTAGGGGTGAATGGGTTACAAATAATCTTCTATGATACCTCAGCCTAATTTACAGTCTTGCTCAAGTCCTTGAATTGTTTAAGAATGGATTCCAGTGTTGGTACTGTATAAATTATATTCTGTATTTTGTCCAGATAATTTGTATTATACATTCCATCAAAGTCAAGAAAAGACCAGTTAAAGCTACTTTATTTTAAATGAAGATAAATATTTTAAAAAGTGAACTGTTAAAACCAAACCTGTAATCTAAATCTCTGTGTTATGATACAAAAATCAATTTAAATTTGAAATAAAGGACATTATATTCATTGACATTTACTTCATGTAGCAACCAATTACTTACGTTTCACAAGGAATTACCAAGTCAACAACTTGTATGACATGCATGTACACAAGTACATATGTAAATCTCATACAAATATGTATACCGTACTGTTAAACTTTTACAGTTTCAACAAACTTCGTAAATATTGGTGAAGAAATTCAGTTTGCTTGAACAATTCGAAAAAGCTCAGAAACACTTGTGAAATTCAAATATTTTCAATGTGTCACATCTTGGACGGTTTAAATATAGTGCTAAAGCACAAAAGGTTAAGAACAAAACTGTAGATATCAATTATAGAACTGAAATTGTGTCCTGTACCAAAAATTTGTTTTTAGAATGATACAACAAACAACTTCAATGTAGTAGACTCTCACGGAAATTTCATTATGATTATAAATTGTCCTTTATGTACAGAATTCATTAAATTTTACCCACGTCATATAGAAAATTGCACTAATCTCCACTGTCAAAAACCCTTATACAAATACTCGACATGAAATTAGTACAATATTTTGATATGGTTTACAAAAGGCCTCCGTTTTATTCTCAATATATTTGGACCTTGTTTTAACAGTACACACTAGACCATAGGAAGCAGAGTACAGTAGAAATGGCTTGATCCTAAAAATAAAGGGCATGTCTCAGATAAACATTGATAGCAGATTCATCCTTCGCAACACACCTACATATATATATATCTATAAACTACATTTTGAATATGGGTTTTTTCAGAAGAATGATTTTTTTTTCAAAAAGTTGATTTCCCCAGATTTGGGACCATGGTTACCTCATCAAAAAATGCAAAAAAACATGATATTTAACCCAAAATTTGACCCATGCAAGCAGTATTTTTTTCTTAAAACCTGTCTTAAATTAATTATCACAATCTCGGTAACAGAAATACTCATGTTTTAGCATAGGTCGTTCAACTGGATTTTTCACAATATTTACGCATGTGCTGAGTACAAAAATAGACTACATGAAAAGCTAGCTTTTGTTGTGTAGACACAGATTTGTAAATGGCCAAAAATGTAGTCTCAAACCAAATTCAAATTTTTATTTTTTTAAATGTGAAGCCCACATAGTCCACGTCATCATGTATATATGCCAATTTTAGTGCTGGTTTTGTTTTTAAGTTTTGATACATGTAATATTACAGGGGTTATTCATTGTACAAAAATATCACCCATGGCCACCGTACGCTACTGTACACTGCTACCTTAATGTTTGCTGATCACAGAGTCTTGTAATTACTCATGATCATATGGCAAAGGAAAAAGAAATACTCTATGATAATAAGATTTCGCAAAATAAAATTAAGGCAAAGAAGCTTGAAAATGTATCTGTCACTTTGATGAAATTTTACCGAGCTCTTGCCTTGTTGTACAATTATCAGTAGAATATAGGCATGTATATTTTTGAACTGATTTAATTTGTATTTAACATTGCAGGTTTAATTATTGATTAGCTGGCAACTTTGTTGAGCTTATCATGATCTTTAACACATTTGTTTTTAAACACTGTCATCAGACATTTTGGTAAAATTCAGTGATGGCTGGTTAAAATGAAAAAAGTCATCATGTCTCCCTTCTGTAAGGAAATCAGTCTTAATGGAATACATCTACCATGCATGTAATTCTACTCATTTGCACAGCTGGGAGGACAAGATGTAAAGTAAAACCACTATATAAGAACAACCTTTCCTTGAATACCTCCAGTCTTTCAAGGGTTACTTCCAAAGATGCTGGTATATAATTGTACAGCAGTGTAGACTGAAACAATCATGGTACAATATATCTTGTTGATTGGCTACAGATCAATAGCTAAACTGCCACCAGCAAGATTTTAATATACAAACCACTATAATTTAACTGTTTTTAATCTGATTTCCTTAGATTTTATTAGGTCAACCTACCTTGTAATTATTGGCGACATTGCTGAACTCTGGAGGTAGATACAATGGTTCTGGATCTGTAAAACAGTAAACAATCGTCATAAATACCTGGTAGGTAGTTTTTTGTTCTTATAAACAATACAATAAGTATTATGATAAGTCCAGGCATCTTTTCCCTTACTGAAATTAAACATTTTGATGGTAAGGTTTATTTATCTCCATACATTTAACTGGAACTAAGTGAAATACAAGTGTAATTCCAAACTAGAACTGTAAGCCAAAGGCTAACAAATACCCCCCGCTCCTATATAAACCAGAACTGTAAGCTAAAGGCTAACAAATACCCCCAACACCTATATAAACCAGAACTGTAAGCTATAAGGCTAACAAATACCCCCTGCTCCTATATAAACCAGAACTGTAAGCTAAAGGCTAACAAATACCCCCCGCTCCTAAATAAACCAGAACTGTAACCTAAAGGCAAACAAATACACCCCC